GCCTATCTTCTTCCAAATGTGCCTTAGAGTAATTAACTGTCTTCCAGCACTCTCATGTCTCTGAATGGATGTAGGTTGGGTGGGGGCTCTGCTCACATGCTCTGTCTTAGAGAAGAGAAAGTCCTCTAGCATATCTGTCTGTTTCTTTTTCTCTAAACAGCTGTGCATTTACTTTACCCTGTAATTTTTGTTTGCTTGTTTTCTGGTTTTTTTTTTTTTTTAGCAAATTCTTTGTATTAACATGGAGAAAGAGGCACCCTGCCCCCTCTTGTTTATCTGACACATTCCTCCCAGATGCCACCAAGCACCGTCATCAGTTGCAAGGTTTACCCATCAGCACACACCTCTATTATAGGATTTGTCACATTACATTGCATCTGTTTATATTGCCTGACTCCCCTCTCTCCACACCCATCCTGGCAGTAGGTCTTAGAGCAGTAGGACTCTGCAGCATACACACAGCTCCAATTCTCTTTACAGTGTCTGGCATATGGCAAGACGCTCAATAAAATGCTTGAGAGGTGAAGGCAGGCTATGTGGTATAGTGAGAAACAAACTTACTCAAGTGAGAGGACTTAGGATTGGATTTCAGTCTTGATGCTTATTATTTCTATGACCTTGAGAAGTCATTGAACTCCACTTCTCTCTTCTGTGACATGATTAACCAACTCTTTGACTCACTTGTTCACAAGGCTTACATTCAGCTGCTATAACTACACCAGCTTGTAAAATATAAAACCACTTCCTTATAGCTGATAAATAGTCTTCATTTCCAACACCCTGTGTACCACCCTAATGGCTTTCACTCCTTACCTGAAACCCCCAGATCTCCCTTGCATGGTAACCAAAGGACAAGTACACCCAGAAGGCCTCCAGAGTTCTGCTTTGGCACTATGGGGGGCATCTCTTCCTGTCAGTCAGTGTACCCCTGTCCTACATGCTGTTAAATATTGTGACTATTGCCTCTGACTCCACCAGAGTGCTATGGTGCCAATGAATCATATCATCCACCCAAAAAATATGTTGCAAACTGTGAAGGGTTGTACACATAGACATCCTGTTTGAATTCCCCAGAAGGCATCAGGGCCACAGAGGAAGAAAGGGGTCTATTTCTTAGTTAGAGATCACTTTCTATTTAGTCAAAAATGGAGGAAGGACTTAGTAGTGAGAGCTTGAAATGCCCATGAGCTGACTGAGGAGAGCCCACACAAAACTGCGGCTGGACCCCGGAATAGCAAGTGGAACTGTTTCCCAGAAGCATCCTTGAAAATGACTTATCCAGATTCCTCACCACAGCACTCTGGGACTCACTTTACAGCTCTTTCAAGTGCATACACTCTTTGTCAGCTTGGCTTTCCAGCCCCTACCTAGGGCTCACAATTAGAAGCCCATTTTACTGGGCTCCTCATATTACGGGGTCTCCCTAGGTAGGACAAAAGCAGCCTGGGAGTGCAGGCAGAGGAGGCAAGTAGGCTCGCTGGATGAAGGTTTGCACGACCTGGTATTTATGGAAAATTGGATGTGCTAATGAACCTAAGATCCATCAGGGCTTTCTGAAGGCAGGATGGTCTCTGTCAACAGACCAATTAGCACACAATTATTTTCCTTTTCTGAAAGCTTATCTGAGGCACTCTTTGTGCGCCTGAGTGAATTGCACTTTCCATTACCACTATAGGACTGCTTTATAATCTGCTGAAGCTGTCTGCCTCTTTTGCAGGGATGATACAGGATTCCCTTGACCAACACTCCAGAGACTCTGGGGCTTCTGGTACTTTCATCACTATGAATCGGGGGTGGATATCTCAGGCTATGTACTTGCTCAAGTCAGTGCTAAGGCAGTCTCTGTCAAAGGATCCCATTGAACTCCTTCTCTTTCCACCTTTCTACCTCTCCAGGGAAAAGACAAATGTTCTCAGAGCACAACAGCAATGAAAAGAGCTAGGGTCTAGGGTCAGGTGAAACCTGTGTGGGCCTTCCTCCCTCCTAGAGATCTCTCATCAGACCCTTTTATCCAAAAGAAACAAGTATGAAGACTTTGGTCTTTGTCT